AATATATATATCAATATATATACTTTATAATCCGTATTTTGGTTTACATGCATTATATTTTGTAAACTGGAAATATTCAATTTGAAAGCTCAAATGTGACCACTTACTTCAACATCCTTTTGTTGGTTAGAAGTTAAATAAAGATGTTTTTTTGTAATTTTGAAAAACTATAAAATATTAAGATTTATCATTTATTGTTAATTTATCTATACATTGTTTAATAAAATTGTAGCTTTTCTTATTCGAATTTTTAAGATTTCAATATGATTGGACTTTGCCTTATTACATTTCTCACTCAGTCTTAATTTTTTTTGACAGTGGTGCACCTGAGTAATTAAATTGAAAGTCTTAATTGATATCAAAGGAAACATCATGAATTGGACGAATCGCAAATCTTTTCAGAATTATCAAGTCGTCAACAATATAATCGTTTACGCACTCGTAAAGAATTTCATCTTTCTGTAGACAGAACACACTTACAAGATCAAAATGGAAGTAATAATTCCTTAACTTATTCATTTGAAGAAAATCGTTCTTATGTGACTTGTAGAAATTTGGAAAGTAATGAAACTGAAAAAGATTACCTTCTAACCACCTACTTTGAAGAAACGTCTTTAGACTTTTTATCAGAAACGTCAAATGCTCATGATAATGTAGTAAAAGAATAGTACATGAAGATTCACAACCTCATATCGAAATTGATTGTTTAGAAAACTTTCAAAAGCTTTTACGACAATGCTGCCTGGAAAACAATATAAATCATGTTCAGAGTAAAGCAATTTTAAGAGTACTTCGTATGCATAAATGTTTTCGGAATTTACCACAAGATAGCAGAACTCTTTTAAAAACAAGTCGTGATCGCATTAACTTAGTACCGATTGGCTCAGGTGTATATTGGCATATTGGTTTTGTAAAAACATTAGAAAAGCACCTTTCGTTTTACGTTGCAGATGAAATTCCGCCTGTTCTAGAAATAGAACTTAACACTGACGGTTTGTCATTGAGTAAAAGCAACCCTATGCAATATTGGCCTTTACAATATAGGATCATTAATATTCCTTATTTCAAGCCGGTGATTATAGGTGTATATAAAGGACTTGAAAAACCTTGCAATGTATATAGCTTTTTTAACAATTTTATTGATGAGGTAAAAGAAATTAATAATGGACTAGGAGGAATACTAATACGGAATCGTCATATTCCTATAGTGTTTAAAATTTTGTTGCCGACGCTCCAGCGAGAGCTTTAGTTTTAAATCATTATGGACACAATTCGTATAAATCCGTGTTCTAAATGTAAAGTTAATGGCGTCCGACATGAGAATCGAATGGTTTACTTGGGCATCAATCATGAAAAACGAACAAATGAACAATATATATCTTGTGTGGACGAGGATCATCAAAAAGGAAGAAGTCCATTAGAAGATCTTGGAATACCAATTGTCACAGGAGTGCCTTTTGAAATTATGCATCTGGTATACCTTGGTGTTACTGTGAGACTATTAAGTGCGTGGTATGATGGCAAATTTGGATATGCAGGGAAACTACGTAGCTCAGCGCTTAATGAATTGTCTTCACGATATGTAGAGTTAAACAAGTTTTGCCCAAACGAATTTGCACGTCGTCCTAGATCTCTCGCGAAATTCTCTAAATTCAAAGCAACTGAATTAAGACATTTTCTTTTATATGCAGCACCAATTATTTCGTTCGGAATTTTAGCTGAAGAATTTTATTTCCACTTGCTATTACTTAATGTAGCCATGAGAATAGTCACATCAATTAAATGTTCGAAAAGGCAATTAGAAACGGCTGAGAAATGTCTACAAATGTTTGTTAAACATGCAGAATATCTTTATACAGCGAGCTTTGTAAGTTACAATGTTCATGGATTGCAACATTTAGTTGATGATGTAAAGGAATTAGGACATTTAGAAAATTGTTCAGCATTTGTTTATGAAAATAATATGCCGTTTTTTAAAAAAAATATTAGAAATCATCCACGTCCACTTCAGCAATTCGCAAATCGATTACGAGAAAAAAATTATATACAACATATACCTGAACGTCATCCTGAGAATCATCGCCTTTCAGTAATACACACAAATGGTGTTATTCCTGAATGTATTGCTAATACCAATTTTATACAATACAAAAATTATCAGTCAAATAAATTTAATTTTACAATAGATGATTGCAACAGTTTTTGCAAGATTCGGGATAAATTTATTTGTAAAATTAAAAATATTTTGACTATAAATGAAGATGTTTTTTTTGTAGTACAAACTTTTAAAAATGTTACAAATTTTTACAAATTGCCAATTCAATCTTCAACTGTCGGAGTTTATAAATGCAAAGAGTTATCAGAAGACTTACAATTAATCAGCATAAATTATATAACTGCGAAGTGCTATAGTATGCCAAGTTGGTCAGGGTCATTCTCTTCAACTCAGAAATCAGAAAAAAATATTGATGAATATATTGTTTCTACTTTGTTACATTATATTAATTAGTTTTATTCGCACGTTTATGATCGCAAATATTTTATCATATTTGCATATAGATTTAAAATCTGTCAATGTAAATCCTTCAATATATAGTTTATTTTCTTATCCCCACAACTTTATATTAAATTTATTTCCACTAAAAAATTAAAAAAAACTATATGTATATAATATATATATATATATATATATATATATATATATATTTGCGTATTGATCCGCAGCGTTATAAAAAATGTCTGACAAAGGTTCAAAATGTAATCGACAAAGACGTACAATAAGAAAGCCTAAAAAGTATTGTACTACAGATTCTGATAAGCCAACGAATAAGGAAAAGGCTAAAAATAAAATATTAGAAGAAATGACAACAGTATTCAGAAATTCTAATTCTGAAGAATCAGATGAGGCATCAAGTCAATCATCTGATAATGAATCTAATTTTTCTACTGACAGTGAGAACGATGTTGAAATGAAGAAAAGATATGAAAGAAATGAACAATTAACTCGGAAAAAAGAAGGAAATCAAGACAAATTAATAAGACCAACTTCCAAAAAAGTAGAAAATCAAGTTAAACCAGTCGGGCTTGACAAAAAAAAGGAAACAAAAAAACAACATCGGAACAGCTACTTGAACAGCATAGAAATAATAATTTGAACTCACCTGGTTGTTCAACACAAACATTACAAAATAATTATGATCAAAGAGATGATGTGATATGTTCCTCAAATAATCATTCTATTTACGATTTCAACTCAGGGATAATTGCCGAAACAAGTAATTATTTTTGTATTCCAAAAAAATATTTTTAGACACTATATGTTAAAATAATGCAACTTCAGATTCGTCAATTATGTAAAAAAAAATTATTATGTTATACATTAATTTACCTAGGTACTGTTCAAAACAATTCCCCACAAATTAAAATGTGGAATAAATCTACTCCAGCTGTTACTTCAAATTATAGCTATTATGACAGTTGGAACACTAATGATACTGCTTCATCCACATATACACAAGGATTACATACCTCAGGTAAAATATTTTCACACGTGCAATGTATTAAAATTAATAAAATTAAATAAAACACTACATAATAGCAAATTTTTACAGAACCCGCACCGGATAATTTTACACATGGACATATTCCGCAATTCTACAATTCTCACAATCATAATTATGGTCATATAAGTTATGAAAATCCTGAAAATGTCAATTTAAATAACTTAAAGACATTGCAAGACTTGAGCGCATCGCAAGAAATATTCTTCCAAAATTTCAGGAGAAAATGCATACGTTTTGCGAAACTCAGGAACAAAATATTTCGAACAAAATTAACAATATGCAAAACTATTTTGATAAAAAAATAGATGAACTGAAAACCTACTTCAATACAAAATTAGATAATTTACAAGTGTAAGTATGCATGAACGTAATTTTCTATTCTAAAAATCTATAAATTTTTATCAAAATTTATCTTAAAAGATAAAAGAAATTGTACAATAAAAAGAAGATAATTTGAATGGATAATAGAAACGATTTTTAGGTTTATGTAAAGTAGAATCCATCAAGATTTATTCATATCCTCTTAAATATTAATTTTGAGTATAAACTGAGCTAAATTATTTTTAGAAACAAAAACGCAAATAATAACGATGGAGCTTACCCAGTATATTCGCTTCCAGAAGGTTTTCCATTAAAAAATATGCAAGAATTTGAAGAGTTCGAGGAAAATAAGGAAAAGCAGGGAGAACTAGTAAGTGGAACAACATGTTTTACTTATACATATTTTGATTATATAAAAATATTAAATATAAATATACTTTTAAATTTGCATTTTGCTTTTCGGAATATTAAAATGGTTTTGCTATTTTCGATAATACAAAATACAATATTTTTAAAATTCTTTAACTATTACACAATTATTTATCACAAAATTAAAATTTTTCAGATTCGAAAAGTTTTGTCATATTTTTAATATCTTTTATGGATAATTAATAAATTCCTACTTTAATAATAACTTGCATAATATAACACTACTGACTCTTTAAAATATTTTACAGAGAAATTATTTTATTTGGTGGGGAAATCCTAATGCAAAAGTTGCTTTGAGACAGTACCTTAGATATTCTATCTCAGATGAACTTGCATGCCAATTTAAGTGGGCTAAAAAAAATAATAAGGAAAGTAATGATGAAGAACCGGAAAATGCGGAAAATGAACCTGCATCACACAAGACATTATATGACACACGGCTGAGTAAAATGATGTTCCGTAAGTATTCTTATTTGCGAATCATATTCTTAAATAATGATTTTTAAAACTCAACAAATTTTATTCAGAAAAATTGAAAAAATGTTATTGTTTATAGAACGTTTAAAAAAAAAGTACATGTCTTGAAAAGCTACAAATATATGTATTTCTCGAAATTTTAGAACTCTAAAGAGTTATTCTAATTTAATTAAATCAATCTATTATGTCTTGAAAAAACGTGTCAGCTTCTAGTGTATGTTATTCCTGATATTGGTAATTGATATTACAATTGTTGAGTTGCTGTATGGTATAGCGGAAAACTTTAGATCTATTTTTCTCTTCCGCTTTAATAAATCCTTTTCCTCAACAATTTCTGTATATTTCATCAATGACCTATCTTAAAATTTTGCAAACGTTAACATCAGCATTCCTTCAAAATAGATTTTCATTTCATATAATTATATAATTTTGAGTTTTGAAAAAGACCCTTTCAAAATGATATATATAACCCTCGTGCGAAGGATTTGTGATTTTTTTTAAACTTTCGAGCATTTTATTATTAATTAGTTTTTAAACAAATTACCAATATCAATTTAGATATAACATACACTAGAAGCTGACAACGTTTTTTTTTCAAAACATAATAGATTGATTTAATGGAATTAGAATATTTTTTAAAGTTCTAAAATTTCGAGAAATACATATATTTGTAGCTTTTTAAGACATGTACATAAAATACTTTTTTATGAAAACATTCCATAAACAATAACTATTTTTTTAAAACTATTTTTTCGTAAATATTTTAAATTTAACAATGTTGAGTTTTGATACAGTAAAATAAAATAAGATTACAAAATACAATTTTTTAATGTTTTAATAAATATTATATAAGTATTTGTTACGTTTTAGAAGTAATTAATAAGTTTGAAAAAACTTCAATAGAAAGTTTTAATCAACTTATGCAGGCTGCATTAAGAGTTGCTAAGCAAAGACATCGAGATCGAGTTCGAAGAGAAAACCGAGAACGTAATGGCCGACGAAATCATTTACAAGATATGAATAATTTATACAGTAATTAAAATGATCGAAGATTAATGAAGATTGACAAAAACAATTTAAATTTTTACTTATAGGTATAAAGATGAAAATATCGATATATAGATATAAAGATTTCATGATATAAATTCCTGCATATTATAAGAGCTTTACTTTTGTTTAAAATATTTAGTGTTTCGAATAGAAAACGTTTTCTCATTCCAGTAAGTTGATGTTTTAGGGCCCGGGCAGAGTGTATAGTTAGAAAACAGTTAGAAAAATATTTTTTGTTCTCAATACCTTTTTTGTTTTGAATGCCTTTAAATTACCAAAAGTTATGTTTAATAATTATAATAATATATATACACTACATACATATATATATATATATATATATATATATATATTATACATTTATATATATTACAAGTTCTAGTTTTGTTTAAAATATTTAGTGTTTCAAATAGAAAACGTTTTCTTATTCCAGTAAGTTGATGTTTTAGGGCCCGGGCAGAGTGTATAGTTAGAAAACAGTTAGAAAAATATTTTTTGTTCTCAATACCTTTTTTGTTTTGAATGCCTTTAAATTACCAAAAGTTATGTTTAATAATTATAATAATATATATACTACATACATATATATATATATATATATATATATATATATATATATATATATACATTTATATATATTACAAGTTCTAGTTTTGTTTAAAATATTTAGTGTTTCAAATAGAAAACGTTTTCTTATTCCAGTAAGTTGATGTTTTAGGGCCCGGGCAGAGTAGTTAGAAAATGGTTAGAAAAATATTTTTTATTCTCAATATCTTTTTTGTTTTGAATGCCTTTAAGTTACCAAAAGTTATGTTTAATAATTATAAATTTAAAATTATAATTATAATATATATATATATATATATATATATTACAAGTTCTAGTTTTGTTTAAAATATTTTGTTCTCTTAACAAAAACAGTTCTGTATTTAAATTCACAGATGCAAATATTTTGTTTCCATTTTTAATAGTTTATAAGAAAACACTGCAAAAGATACAAACATTTTATAAGCAATGAAAGGCTTTAAATAACTGCAGTAAAAATTACATTTATTTATTCTAAATAAATATATATAAGTTAAAATACTTTTATATAAGTGCAACATTTGTGATATGTTACCAAGAACAAAATCATTTATAATAATTAATAAAGTAATAATTGATAAATATTTATAATTGTATGTATTCATTTTATATAATTTTGAGTTTTGCAAAAGATTTCAATAATACACTTATGCGAAGGGTTGTTCATGATTTTTTAAACTTCCGAAACTGTTTAAAAACTTTTATTGAATGGTTTTTAAATTATTTTTCTTAAATATTTTAAATTCATCAACATTAGAAATTAAATAGTTTTGTATTAAAAAATAAATAAAAATTCATTATATATCCTACAAAAAACTCTAACTGAGTATAAATAATAAAATTTATAAAAATGTTAAATTAATATTTATGCAGTGATAGCATTATTGCACAAATAAAATTATAAATTATGCAGTAAAATTGCCGTAAACACTTTTTATTATATTGTTTTGATAAAAATTCCATTATTTTGAACTTGATTTTCATTGGATTATCTAAAACCGTGGAAATCAAATTTTTAAAACAGTGGAATTATAATTAAAAGAATTTAAAGTGATTATTATAATTTTGCTGCATAATTAATGCATTTTATTTGTGTAATTTTACTACACAGTATATTCTGCCAAAATCTTTTGCATTACTGCTCTATTTTTTACGCAAGCATCTGCCGTAATTCTTGTTGAATTATGTTGTATATAAATGCGCATTTCTGCAAAATTATTAGCAATAGATGCAGCCACAAATCTGGCGCGATTATGTTGCACTGCGACTTGCGCAAGCATCTACTGCATTTCTTGTAGTATTCTGCTATATGTAAATGCATATAACTACAAATTATTAGCAGTAAAAGCTGCCACATATCGTTTGCAATTCTGTTACACTATGACGAGCGTAAGTTTTTGTCAACAGAAAACTAGTCAAAGTTGGAAATAGAAGACGCATGATCTGTCCGAAAGTTCATGCACGACTTTTCGTACAATTTTACAGCAGAACTGCAATGGAAATGTTACCAGATTGCAATATTGCGGTGAAAGATTGTTGTAATGTTTTTGGAATCTAACGGTGCTGTATGGGCCTTTTTTTCGATCTAAAGTGATGTAAACAAAATTGATTCCTACAATACGACGTCAAGTGGTTAGGTAAGACATCAAAATTTTTACAATGTTTTAAAAAAATTCAACTTTGATCTAGCTTTGATTATTTGATAATTTAAATCAATCCATTGCTTTAACCTCCATGTTATTTCTCCCCCAAATGAATTATATAAGAACTAACTGTACAGATTCAAAAAACAAATTTTAAATATTGAAATCAGAGATTTATATAGATTAATTAATTTATTACATGGTAAACTTTACAATATTTCAAGATATGTGGCTAACAAACTGCCAGTACACATATGGAACGAAATTTTAAGACATCATTTCATCTCATTTGACATGTTTCATAACGGACTACATAACAAACACAATAACAAATTTAATTGGCTAATTAAAAAGAAACAAGACGAATATCTGAGAAATATCAAACCGATTAAACTTAGTTATTCCATCAACAAAATAGACATTCCACAATCAACAATTTCAGTAAACAATAATATAAACAAAGACATTGTCATATATCCTAATAAATTCAGAGACAAACATATTAATCCTCTAACCAGTACTAACGAAAAATGGTTTATTAATTTGACTGACACAATAATTCCTACCAATGTCACTAATCTATTACAATTTGGAAGTAAATTCGGCCTGCCGTTTAAGAATGACAAAAAGTTGGCCATACACGAGTTTATCAAAGATATAGAAGGGAATTCCACTAGTTCTAACATGAAAAATTTAAATACATTACGTAACAATCTGGTTCCACAACTTTCCTATTTTTTACACGGCAAAACTAAGTTTAATTCAACTCATGAAGATTTGATTAGTATGTATAAATATACAAGGAGGTTTTGCCATGATAATCCGGATATTCTTTTTACAAGGGCTGATAAGGGCAACGTAACAGTCGCGATGACAAAAGAATATTACACGAATAAGATGGAAGGTTTACTTGAAGACAATAGCACCTATTCTATCATAAAAAAGAACCCATCCTCCAAAATAGAAAAGGAACTAAACGATATTCTTAAGAAATGGCAAAAAAAAGGGTACATTTCTAATAAAGAATATTACTCACTACGTTCCAGCGACTCCCTTCTTCCAAAATGTTATGGTCTCCCAAAAATACACAAGGAGAATACTCCATTTAGAGTAATTGTGTCATCGATTAATACCACGCTTTACTCGATAGCCACATTTTTACATAAAATCATTTCAAATAGTATTCCTACGGGAAAAAGTAATGTAAATAATAGTTTTGAACTTTACAGCAAGCTAGCGGGTAAAAAATAGGTGCGGAAGATATTCTAATATCATTAGACGTGGTTTCACTATTCACTAACATTCCGATAGATCTTGCAATAGAAAGTGTGAGCAATAGATGGAATTATATCAATACACATACATTAATTCCAAAAAATGAATTCATTTCCATGGTTAAATTTATATTGTCGTCAACATACTTCACATTCAATGACATTGTATACAAGCAAGTTTATGGCACACCTATGGGTTCCCCGTTATCGCCAATAATTGCTAATATTGTTATGCAAGATCTTGAAGAATCAATAATTAATGAATTGGACATCGGTATTGGAATATATTATAGATATGTAGACGACATTATTATGGTGGCACCAAAGAATAAAATTGATAGCGTATTGAATAAGTTTAATAGTTACAATCAACGACTACAATTTACGATTGAATACGAAATTAATAGAAGCATAAATTTTCTAGATTTAAACATTAAAATAATAGACAACATCATACACTTAGATTGGTTTCAAAAAAAGACATGTTCAGGCAGAGTACTATCTTTTTTATCGAGTCACCCTATGTGCCATAAAATAGGAGTAATTTATAATCTTATTAATAGGGCATTGTTATTATCTCATCCCATATATCATAAGAAAAATTTAGAACTGTGTATTAAAATATTATTGGACAACGGTTACCCTATTCATTTAATCTTTAAAGAAATAAATAAGAGAATAAGAGTTTTAAACAATGGTCAGTTTAACAACAATAGAAAAAAAGAAATTGCAGAAGATAATAGAAAGAAAAAATTTTTCGTCATTCCATACATTAATAACATTTCTGAGACAATAGCATCGACAATAAAAAAATCAGATTTCAGAGTAGGATACCGTTGTCTAAATAATCTTAACAAATTAATTAAAGTCCACAAGGACAAAAACGTGCATAACAATAATAATAATGTTGTCTACAAAATTAATTGTAAGGATTGTGAAGCTTCGTATGTTGGGCAAACCAAAAGAAAATTACGCACTAGACTAAAAGAGCATATGAATAATATTAAATTTGATTCCTCCAAGCATTCTGTGGTCTCTGAACATATTATAGATAAAAAACATGCTTTTGATTGGGATAACGTTAAAATACTTGATATTGAATCTAATTATTATAAAAGACTTATCTCGGAAATGATACACATCAAGGAACAAAGGCATGGTATAAATAATAACACAGACACCGAATTGCTTAACAACGCGTATTTCGACATTCTAGAAGAAATATCGAATTTTTAGACTTATGTAAATGTTTATTTTGTGAGATCTGACACCTATTTATTCGACTTTTTAAAAGACTAGACAACAGTCAAGTACTAACAATAAGGCCAACAACAATTAGAAGCATCGTCATCTCAAGTTATTCGGAACAATTTGTAAGCATAAAGGTTCAATATTTTAGTAGTTAGTTTAATTTATAATTTTTAATCTTTTTTCACATACACATTAGTGGAATCCTATTTTACAATTGAATAAATTCTTTAAATTCAGTTAACAAATATCAAATAATTTGGAGAGGATGAACATAATCATTGCCAGATCGAGGGACTTTCGTCAAATAACGATAAGTGGTTCATTTGGAGTAATGTATAAGTGTCACTCCAAGTTTTTATTAATAATTCTAATATATTTTATGAATAACCGGACGAATCATTCTGCTTCTAATTGGGTTCTTACTTTGTTGAACTATTTTAATGGTCTCAATTCATTGTAAATATATTTTGCGTTTTAACTATGACTCAACTATATAACTTATATTGACTATGTATTGCGGATTTTTTATTAGAATTTTATGTATTTATTTATTATTGGTATTTATTATCACTATTTTTTT